CCCCCTGCTTCTGTGGCAGGGCCTCTTGTGGAATTCAGGTCTTGGCCAGAAATCTCTGCTTTAGACCCCAGAAGGTCTGAGGGAGGCTCAGGAAACCTGGCGGCTGCTCCTCAGGTTTGGCAAACTCAAGATTTTTCCAGCGCCTTGTGTTCAGCAAAACTGAAAATGTGTTTGGCTAGAAAGAAACCCTTCTCTAATTTTTAAACCCCTGTGCATTTTTTACATAAATTTGATCCACATGGTTCTGATTTATTTATATTTAATTCGTCAAATCAAATTAGGAGTTACAGTGATGAATGGGAACAATGGTAATTTCCAAGAAGGTTTCTGAGCCCTTTTTCTTAGAATTAAATCACATTTTCTTCACCTCCTCCCCCAACAGCCCCAGTCCTTAAAACTACCAGACTGAAGTAGATTTGAAATTTAGAACCCGAATGTGAAATAAAGACCCATGTTTGGCAGAGTCAAAGCATAGCAGGGAGATACTCGGAGGAAGTCACAGGGCGTGAGGGTGGCATGCTTGTGAGCCGAGGGGGGAGGTAATGAAGACAGGGAGAGAGTCTGTGGTTCTTCATTAGATGGCGTAAATAAATTAACTTGCCTTTCTGGGATCCCAACAGAAGCTGCCTAGCCATTTCTCTCTTGGGTATGATTTTATCACCATCCCCTTGGGTAAAGGGTTTTAGCCTTAAGGAATGGAGATGGAGGGTGGGGGTGGGGTGGGGGGACATGACACACAGACTATCTTCTTTTTCTAACCTCCACAGTAGCCAGTTCAAACTGTTCCTTTTCTAATGGAACCCTCACCCCCCCCCCTTCTTCTGACTCTGGCGGAGGCCCCTCCATCTGGAAACATTTAAAATATGTATAACAAATTTAATCTTGTGCAGGAGATTTTGGTATATACACTACACATCCATTAAGCCAAATTGTAGGCACGCCATCATATTTTACACAGTTCTGTCTGGCCTAGGTTTATATACATACAGAGGCCATTACTGTCGTTCCCAATTACCCTTCTGACTACACCATCATCTTCAGCTTTAGCCTGAGGTCAACAGTATTGCTCTGAGAAACTCAAGCCACTGAGGTAATAAGACCAAGGGTTCGTGTTCAAGACAGAGGTGTCCTCTATGGAGCCCTAGGACCAGTATATGGTGAGTCGCTGATCCTAAGCTCTCACTGCCATGACCCTGTCACTAATTAGATGTGGGTTGCAAGCTCAGCTTGCTACTCGACAGTTGTAGAGCCTCGAGGAGTGATTTCCCTGAGTCCCAGTGCCCCAGTGTAAAACATGGGTCCAATAACTGTTAGCGTCCCAGCTCTGGTAGGGATGAGATGCTGCCTGTAAAATCCTAAGTCTGTTGCGAGGGGAGACAGACATTCTAAAAGTACAAGGACAAGGTTTCAAGTAAACACGAGAAAGCCATTTCTGACACCTAATCTGAGCATGATGGCCGCAGTCAACAATCAGCATCCCGCCCCATTCCCATTCTGAAAGCCCTTCACAGAGGGCATTTTCTAAGGCAAAGGGCAGCACTGTGGCTGGCCGCTCTAAAGTCTAACTGCAGCAGACCGCTGTCCTTCCAACCACACTGAGCCACTCTCCCCTCCATAAAGCAGTACCTGCCTGAGTGAAACGGGGGAGGGATCCTGAGAAAGGAGTTATAAGGCTGCTGGAAAGAGCAAAATGCTTAATTAGCGTTTCCTGCGATCCCCAGGGAGGCTTCTGTACAAAGGACAGAGGTGAGGGTGCCATTTAACATGTTGGATGAATGCCTTCCCCCCAAGGGGGAGAGCACAGTTTTATGGGCCCAGTTACAAACCCTGTGCTCAGTGGAGTTCAAAGGAAGGAGAGTCCAGGGTTCAGAATTTATTACTTTTCTCTGGCAAGACGCAGTTTTAGCGGTAATTCCCAGGTCCTGATGTTGGCCAGCGTGGAGGGATTTGGAACTCCAGGGGACTTTGGACGTTGTGTCTAGCTGTGGTCCTTGCCATGTAGAACTGTTGTGGGAGCCCAGAAAGAAGACACCTGTTGGTTCTGGATGTAGACTGCTACCATTTTTACTAAGGCAACTTCATGTACAACCTCAGGGCCTACTGGGAAATACATCTCTCATGCCTAATGTTTATGCCTAGAAATTCCCATGCCAGCTCCAATGCCGACACGCTCAAAATGAATTGTCCTTGTCTGGAGTCCTGCAGGGGAACTGGGCCTGGGTGGCTGTTTGTGCCCATGGATAATGGAGTGGGCACATGGTCTGAAAGGCTATAAGTGAGCCTGGAAGCCACTTGTAGCCTTTGATAAAAGGTGAATGGGGACCATCAAAACTCCTCTACAGTACAGATGTGTGGGTGTGGGGCCGGGTGGTTTGTGATACATGGATGGCTAAGTGGAGAGCAGACCTTCTCTCACAGGCTTTTGCTGAGATGGCCTTGCTGTTCATTCCAGGCCTACTCTGGTAAATAAGCCTGCTTATTTAGATATTCATTCTGTAGACACCAGAAGTATGCCTTCCAATATAATTAAACACTGCCTTTCGGGGGTTACTCTGAGTGAGTTTATGTTTCCTACAATCAAAATGACCTACATTAGAATAGCACCTACTGGGGAGGGTAGAACCTCACATCTGTAGTACTAGCTGATTGGGAGGCCAAACCAGGAGGACCTTGGGCAATACAACGAGACCCCCGTCCCAAATTCTCATCTCCAGCACACACTAGTGTGCTGTGTGTGTGTGTGTGTGTGTGTGTGTGTGTGTGTGTGTGTGTGTGTGTGTGTGTGTGTGTGTGTGTGGTGTATCTCAGTGGTAGAGCATGCAATGGACTGCTACCCTCCAATATACAACCTCCTAAGCCTGGCACCTACTCTTGAGCAGAACAACCAGATGGAACTATGGTTATACATTCTGGACATTTCCAGTGTAACATCGACTTTAAAAGCTCATTTTTCATGGTATGGCAAACAATGCTGGTTTCTGACTTGCTCACCTCTCCCACAGAAACCGGGAACTAAACTTATCTCTCTCCTAGCCTCTGCGGCTAGAAGAGTGACATGATTTTAATCAATGAGACTTAAGGGAGCATATGTGGGGAGGGAGCCTGTCCCCACACTTTTCATGGAGGAGGTACCCATGAGGCCTTATCCCTAGCTGAAGAGCTACAGGAAGCTGCAGGCTGCTGGGGGAGGGAACACCATTTTGCTTTAGAGGTTATGGTCTCTGGGATGCTATTCATCCTAGCGGATGACCTGACACCTGTGTACATCTGAGCAGCAATAACTGGACTCAGTGGGTTATTATAAAGAAGGAAACAAGCCAGGTGGTGGTGGTGAATGATTTTAATCCCAGCACTCGGGAGTCAGAGGCAGGAGGATCTCTGTGAGTTCGAGGCCAGCCTGGTCTACAGAGTAACTTCAAGGACAGCTGGAGCTGCACAGAGAAACCCTGTCTTAAAACCCCAGCCTCCCTCCATCCCACCAAAAAATGGAAAGAAAGAAAAGAGGAGGACATGAAGTAAGGAACCTGGGAGCAGGGTTGGGCATTGGGGGACACTGATAAAAATATATGTGTGCATGTTTGAAATTCTCAGAATAAGTGAAAATAAAAAAGACAAAGCAAAGCCCAAACTCACAAAACCTATAACAACAAAAACAGAGTCTTACTGTGTGAGAAAAATTTATAAACCCTCATTACATTTAGTTTCTTTATTTTCTGGAATAGGGTCTCATTATCTAGCCTTCCAGCTTGAAGCTAACTCTATAGACCAGGTTGGCCTCGAACTCAAGAGATCCCCTTGCCCCTGTCTCTCAAGAGCTGGCATCAAAGGTGGGCACCACTATGCCCCGCTCCATTTGTCTTTCTAGACAGTCTCCCTATGTAGTCCTGGATAATTTGCTATGTAGACCAGGCTGACTTGAACTTTTAGCAGTGTTTGCTAGGATTACAGGCATGTGTCACCATACTTGGCCTACAATTAGATTTTTATACTATTAGATTTTTTTCTTTAACATGGAGACAAATCCTTTCTAAATAATACACTATGAAAGCCAACATAAAATCTCCTAACATTTCCAGAATTGTAGGAAATATTATAGGATTTTTTTAAATGGACAAAATGGCAAATATATTTTTCAATGAACTTTCCAAATGACACTTGAATGACACAAATCCTCTGGTTAACTAAAATCAAGTGAGGAAATACATAGATGAATAGCTGAGCTACAACGTCTTGAACAAAAATATCTCATAAGACTTCCATCTGAGGGACAAATATCAGGATGTCCTCTTAAACCAGTATTCTCGACCTTTTTAATGCTGCCACCCTTTAATACAGTTCCTCATGTTGTGTTGACCCCCAAGCATAAAATTATTTCCATTGCTATTCTATAACTGCAATTTTGCCACTGTTATGAATCATAATGTACATGTTTTTGGAGACAGAGGTTTGACACAGGGGTTGGGACGCACAGGTTGAGAAACACTGCCTTAGGAGATACATTTGAGCTAAACCACAGAGAGAACTGGGTGCTGTGGATGGGGAGCAGAGCATTCCTGGCAAGACTAGATGTAAACAAGCATGAGAAATTTAAGGTCAGACACGGTAGCTGAGTTCATTTGGTTTGTGAAGGAGAATAGAGATCCGATTAAAAAGTCAGATCAGATGGCAAGCCTGGAATGGCAACTGGAGTTGGGTTATGCTCCAGGCCATGGGTGCCACCGAAGACTGCCGAGATGTGAGGAATCAGAATGGTCCTTTGGGAAGAGTCACTTTATAGCAACATGTGGGAGGAATTGGAGGAGGTGATGAGGAGTCGACACGGCTCAGTAAGTAGGAGATGGTGAGGGTATGAATCCAGGTAGTTGGAGTGAGAACAGGGTGACATCATTAGTACATGTAAGCCATGCTGGCTGTTGTTTGGATGTGGGGTGAGGTCAGGGAAGGCATAATACACCAAGTATTTTCTTGTACAGAATATAAACAAAAACTTCATGTGGTACCTCTGGAGCTGAAGACAGGAATGGTTTTATGTAGATGTTGGAGTCATGAACCTTCAGGTCATGGTCCCCAAGTCCCCTGGTCACTCCAATAGTTGCCATTACCCGGGCCTAGGAATATAAGCAGAGAGTTACCAGAAATACACACAGTGATGGCATCCTGCCCCAGGTCCTCTTGCTTATCAATCTATGCTGTTGGCTGTTAACTGAGATGTGTGGTATTAAGAAGGAAGGGCTCATCAAAATCACTGCTCTATCTTAGGCTTACTATGTTGTTCTGCTGTCTGTCCTCAGTTTTCTTCTGTAGAGCCTGGAGTGGAAAGCTCTGAGAATACGCTAACTGTAACACATGTGCCATCTACAGCTGCTGAAATCAGTTTATACTAGACCAAGAACATCGAACCCCCCCCCCTCGGCCCATCCACCCACACACTCACTCTATAAGTATTTGCTGGACACTAGCTACATCCTTGGCAACATCAGAGGCAATAACAAAAGATGAAGCGAGTCTGAGGCAGATCCTGCCTTTGCAAATCTCAACTATTAAGTTTTATGGCTAGAGAAAATAAATCTTTAGCAATTCCATGATCTACCTGTATATTCCTACAAATCCTTTCTTGGCAGAAAGTAATAAAGTGTCACTAACATGTTTATGCCCAGATTTCTAGACTGTAGCCTCATGCTTTCTCTAAGCTTATTTATAATGGCTTATGGAATTAACATATTACATTAATATCTGCACAGTCACCTTAAATGTCTCCTAAAGCAGCTACTATATGTACCCGCCATGTGGAAGGACCACAGAGCTTCATCTCTACTATGAAGGAACTTGGTAAAGGAGGCAAGAGGTACATATCTAATTAATACATAAAATGTGCCCTGGAAGGCACATGAACAACGGGATATGTGGATTTAGAGGAAAAAAAAATTCTACCAAGACAGTCCCATGGTGGAGGCAATACAGTTTGGTGCCAAAAAAATGGACAGTATCAGATAGGCAGACACGGAGGAACAGATTGCCTGTTATGCTGAGCGACATGAAGCTTAATGGCATTAACATTAGGTCACCAATAATAGAGCCCATATGATACTGTAGTTCAAAGCTGGGATTTTTCTTTTACTTGAGTAGTAAGAATAGATACCTCATAGAGGCCAGGACGAAATAAATAAGAGCAGCAGCACTAAATTCAGGGGACATTGCAAAGGCACTTGCCGTCAAGTGACAACCTAAATTTCAACCCTGGAACACACACACGATGGAGGGAAGGAACTGCAGGTTGTCCTCTGACCTCTAACACATGTGCTGTGGCTCATAAATAAATACATGTAAAAGGAAAAGAGAGAAAGAACTTATAAAGAAAGAAGAAAAAAACACACTATAATCCACTGAGCCATCTTTACTGAGCTCCATGACATATAAGGTACAGATTCAAAGGGTATAAAAAAATAAACAGGGATGTGAAACCCAGGGACCTGGGACCAGAGAGACACCAGAAGCCCTCGATGATGGGTTTTGAAGCTGGACGGGTCTCGTTCTAGTTAAGGAATGTTCAGCTTAAAATACATTCTGAGTCTCTCTCTCGTGGCCGTTCTGCCGTCTCCCTGCAACAGCAGCTTCTCTGGGTGGAAAAACCACATGCCCATGTTTAGACCAAAGAATGCAAATGCTATTGGAAGTGACTGAACTTGTTTACACATATACAGGTGTTATCCACAAGAATTCCAGGAAATAAAAAGTAACAGCTGTGAAAATATACTCACATGTCAGAGTAGGAGTTTGCAAAGAGGGAAGAAAAACCTTAAAGAACTCCAAGAAACCAAGAACTCAGACAAGGATGGCATACCCACCTTCCTCCAGAGTGGAGTAGAGAGTGTATGGTGGTTTTCCATATAGCAACAGGCTACAATGTAGCTTTACACAGCACAACAGGCTACAATGTGGCTTCCTATAGTGTGACAGGCTACAATGTAGCTTTCTGTAACACAACAGGCTACAATGGGCAGAATTTGCCCATCCCTTATCACAGGATTGCCCTCCTTCTTGAGCTGACTGAGAGGCTTTGGGATATGTTGGTGAATCAGACTTTTCAATTAACCTCATTGTTGAATCTGTGCTTACCTGTACAAGACCAAGCCCGCTAAAATTCCAGCATAGGTGGGGGAGGTGCTCCACACACATCACCCCTCAGACTGAGAGGAGTTAATTGGCAGTTGATAACTGCCAGGGAAGGGAGAATCACTCTTCTTTGAGAGTGTAGCCATTGGTATGTTTCCTATGCCCCAGAGGATGGCCTTACACCATGAACTCAAGGGAAGTACTAATTGGATACTATAAGCCGATTATCAAAAAAAAAAAAAAAACAAAGAAAACAAAACAAAAGATACGAAGTTGGGAGTGGGATATGTTGGGGAGAATAGGGAGACAACTGGAGGGGAGAAATGGAGTGATGGATATGATGGATATCATGTCTCATTGTAGACATATATGAAATTCTTCAGAAGAAAGATTATTTTTGAAAAATTTCCATGTCCATAACCTTCTAAGAAAGGCAGCAGTCCATTTCCCTGTTCAGGAGAGCACGATGAACATAAGCAGGAGTTTATTCAGTATTGACACATATATCAAGGTCAGGACTGGGAGGGACAGTCCTGGGCCACACTGGAGACCTTGCTTTGATATTCTTGTGAGTCATTTCTTCTGGATGAATACTATATAATACCAATAGACAGTTCCCTTGAAGAATCTTCTGGTGGCCACACTGTCCACTTCTAATTGAAACACTTAACTATGAATGGAAGTGAGTTGTGTTTGTAGAGTATGGGTTCAAAGGTTATTCATCTCAGCACTGGTGTCCGGACTTCCGTCAAATCTGCTCACACATGTCTCATGTGTACAATCTGTTTTGGGTTCAACCATGTCATCCAGCGTTTACTTCTGACAGGGGCACTGGACCCAGTGATGGTTCTGTTATCTCAATTGGGGCTCTTGATGCTGTAGCGTAATTGCAATGACACTCCGGAATCCTTTTGTTGGGGCAAGTAGAAAAAGCCGACTTGCAAAGTCTTGAGTATCAGTGGTGGAAAGAAAGGATACCAGCCTATAGCAGATAGCCAGAGTTCTACACCAGGGCTGTCCTCTGCTGACTGTGTGGTTCTGCTGGGATGTTTTAATCTTGAAGTTCCAGCTGCCTTGTCTACCGAGTAGAGTTAACACAGCCAGCTTGACTTGCCTCTGAGCTGATGTCAGTTATAAAATAGGATGATGTATGTGGAATTGGTTAAAGAGTGACTCAAATGGGCAGGGAAAGGGATGGTATTTTCACAAAACTGACTGCTCACCCATACCCCTCAAATCCTGCCACACTCTGGACCCTCAAGACAGGTGACCTAAAGAATGGTGGATGCGATGTTCATTCAAGTTGTCATGGCTATAAAATCCCACACTGCTGAATGGAGCACACAAACTGCCAGGGGCTATACAAAGCACACAGGGCTACAGATGCCTCTCCAGGGCTGAACTTAAACCTACCTTCTTGCCTTCTCCATATATAAGAGGAAACTTCAAGTCGTCATCCTCAATGGTTTTGTATGCCCTGGAGGGGGACAAACAACATGTTAAAAACAGGTTTGTAATCAATTAATGACCCTTCACCCTGACTCAGGCTGCTAGGAACCTCATTTTCCTAGAGATTCTATCACTTCACAACACTGCCTGCCTCTCTGCTTATATAGTTATTTTCCATTCTCCATACAGAATTGTGTGTGTGCGCGCGCGTGCGTGCTTTGACAAGGCAGGAAATACCAAGTCTTTGTATTCTGAAAGAGGGAGAAAGTTACTTATGATTAGTGAGAAGGGGAGATGGAATTCTGTTCCTAGTGCCTTTGGGATAACAAAGTGATCCGGCAGCCACTGGACTCTTCTTGCAGTCTGCAACAGTGATAAGCAGCAGTGCTGGGGCGTAAATGGAGTGTAGACACCCTCCACGAGCCAGTTCTCACCTTCAGGGGATGTTTACATCAAACACCTTCTATTGGGGTGGTTGGGGATGGATGCTACAGCACCCGTTTGACCTCTGGATGAGAGTCAAGGTTGGCAGAAAATTGCTTCTCAATAGCTTTCAGAGGACCATTCGCCACACAGAAAAACACTTTATACTTCATCGGTTTATGGCTGACATAGTTGTCTAGATGTCACTGCCAGTGAATGAAACCATGCGTCCCAAATCTACCCACAAGCAAGTTCAAAACCAGAAAGCAAACACCACAGGCAGTTAGTAGCTATGCCCCCTGGTTAAAACAGAGCTAGCCTTCTGCTTTTGCTTTCCTGTTTGTAAAGTGAGGGTACTGCATGAGACACAAAGGACTCAGCACAGAGCCTCTGCTCATTAAGGACCCAATTAAGGGCAGCTATTAGGAGAATTTAGCAGGGGATTAACTTTTGGTGTAACACTTTCCATTTCTGCAAAATGGGGTGTGGGTATCACTACTCATTCACCACCCCAGAATGAACATATGCTGGGGTCCTCAGGACTTCATTAATCGAGCAAAGTCAGAAGTTATTAGTTAGAATAAGTAAGGACAGGGTATGGTAGGTTTAGAACGCATGGAGAAAGGCCATTTATTAAGTGGCCCCCCAGACCTGTACTTTAGGCAACTGGAGAGTGGAGGTGAAATCAAATTTACGGATGTTCTTGATATATAAAAGCATGCAACCCGGATGAAAAGGCACTGAGAACAAAGTATGACAGCACGTGATAAAGACGTCATGCTGGAACTCACTGGCTGCACGCTAACCTGAAGATGAAAAGGTTTTAAAAGCGTGTGCCCTCAAGGTGAAAGAAAATACACCTGGTTGTCCAGGGAAATATTTGTGCATGCCATTCTTTCCATGATTGGAGAATCAGTGAGGTTTTGTCATCAGATCCCCCCTGGGTTTGAGTATAGCACTAAATAAGTGGATGTATTCTGTGAACCTTAGTGTCCGCATTGGTCAAACAAGATGTACAGAGCTCAGTATGTGCCCAGCACAGCCCTGCTCAGAGTATAGGAAAGCCACTGCAGTCCCCGGCAGGTGAGCTGGAATAATCCAGAAATCAAAGGAAAAAAACAAGAACAACACACTATTTCCTTCCCTTAAACCTATCAAATTAACATAAAGTGGAAATTAGTCACTTTGATGTTTCATATACTCACATGAACTATTTTAAACACTGTCGTACATAAGCCACTTGGGGGAACAAATAAAGCTATTATTAGAATCTAGCCTCAGCTTCGGGATCAACTGTGTTGAGTGGTTCTCAACCTCGGCTATATAATGAACCACCTGCCAGGACTTGAGAACATCCTGAGGCCCAGGCCACATCATGGAGCAATTAAAGCTGACTGACTCTCTGGGAAAGAGACTTGGGCATCAGGTATTTTGTTTTTAAAACTTCCAAGGAAACTCTAATGTATAGCCATCTTTGACTCTGCTATTGACCTAGCTCCAGAGAGCTTACATTGGAGGAGAATTAAGCAGTGAGGCCCTCATCAGCCTGATTATTGAGAGGAGAGACTGTATGGCTTCAAAGAGGGGGAAGGAAACGGGCTGAGAAAGCCTCTCAAATGAGCATGAGCAGGCGTTCAAGAGCTTGTGTGCGCGAGAACACAGTCTTACACATCCTCCTCGTTCAGATCATAGCATTCATGCTTCCAACTTGTCCACAGCCCCTCTCTCCTTCACCGAGGGGAGAGGAGAGGAGAAAGGAGGATAGTGGTATTTGAGAGTACCAAGACACCAAGCGAAGGTTGTTTGATGTTATAACCAAGAATGTATGGTCATAGGGCTAATTCCTTTGTTATAGACTCTAAGATTTGGAAAATTCTGTTAAATGAATAGAAAAATTTCAAAACCAGATCAGTCACTGGATTAATCATAATATAACTGATCAGGGATTATAGTCAAGCAAGCACTTGTTCTAAGACAGCACACTAAAATAAGCATGTGAAAGACTCTTAGATCACTCTTAGGTCAACTCCCTTATGAATATTCATGAGATGAGAAATGAATGAAAGACTTCTAATGGGTTACTACATTCTTGGCTTTTCCTACCTTAGAGGCAACACCCTCAGACAAACTAGTTTCAGGCCAGACATGGTAGCAAACACCTTTAATTCCAGCACTCTGGAGGCAGGGGCAGACAGATCTCTGTTCAAGGCCAGCCTAGTCTACAGAGTGAGTTCTGAGCTACATAGAGAGAGCCATTGTCTCAAACCAAACAATGTTTCCTGTTTGAGAACTCTGGACACATCTGGAATGGACTGTCTGTTTCCTCTTCCTTACTTCTTTCAACTACGTTTCACAGGACCTTGGGGAACATCTATCACTGCTCTGGCCACCATTTACTCAACACATTGGCTAATCAAACATCACAGACTGTGACAAGGGCCCTCTGTGGGCTTTCTAGTCTGACAGTGTCCTTGAGATTGGCACTTATCTTAAGTGAAAGCTCTTGAGATATGATCTAATTAAGAATGAAATTATTCTTTTGATTTGGATCTTGTTCTTAAAAGATCAAGGAATCGTATTTGTACTGTGTACCCACACATGCATGCCAGTATATAGGGGGGCTTTATGGTTACAGATTGAGACCCTGAGTGAAAATAAACAACAACAGGGCTGGAGAGATGGCTCAGAGGTTAAGAGCACTGACTGTTCTTCCAGAGGTCCTGAGTTCAATTCCCAGCAACCACATGATGGCTCACAACCATTTATAATGTGACCTGGTGCCCTCTTCTGACATGCAGGCAGAACAGTATGTACCTAATAAATAAATCAAATCAAAACAACACAAAAAAACCAACCCCCCCAAAAACCCAAAAACCCCTAGCTGCAACCAAACAAAACAGACCCCAGTCCACAAGAGAAAAATTTAAAAGGGTTTTCTTGGGTTAAGCCTCCTCTAGCTTGTGTTTATGTTCCATCTCTGCTCTGAACATTAGTTCTATGAGGACAGTGACTTCTTTCATAGGCTCTGCCTTCCCTTCCTACATACAACTTTGCAGGCAGGCACACTGTGGACAGAACCCAGACTAGCTAAACATCTCAGTGAATGAATGAAGGCTGCCCTGTTACCTTCAGCTAGTGAGTTTCTGTCTAAGACGACATACCCCTGTCTTAGTGTTTCCATTCACCTTGCCCCCATCGGACTTTTCTCTGGCTAAAAATCAGAGCTACGTTCTCTACTAGTAGTGCCCTTTATATTAAAATTCTAGGTTCTCCCTTCTTCCAGAAACAGATGGAAACAGATGCAGAAATCCACAACTAACCAATGGACCAAGCTCCTGGAGTACAATTGAAATGAGGGAGGGGCAATAATATGGAGTCAAGGCCATGATGGGGAAACCCACAGAATCAGCTGACCCGAGCTAATGAGAGATCACTGACTCAGATCTGACAAATGGGGAATCTGCATAAGACCAAACTAGACTCTGTTAATGTAGGTGACAATGGTGTGACTGGGACAATATATGAGGCCACTGGCAGTGGGTCCAAGATCTAACACTAATGCACAAACTGACTTAGCGGAGCTCATTCTATATGGAGAGATACTTGCCCAGCCTAGACACAGGGTCCTGCCTCAAGTAGATGATGGAACACATTTAGTAGACTTCCTAGGGAGGGCCTTACCCTCTCCGAGGAGCAGATGGGAGGTGCGGGGAGGGGGGGGTGTGGGAGGAGAGAAGGGAGGGGGAACTGGGATTGGGATGTAAAAAATAAATTAATACAAAAGAAAAAATTTCAGGTTCTCTTTCATTACTTATACATATTAATAGATGTTGCAAAGTAATTAGGACACCATTTATGAATCTCCAAATGGCTATTTTCTACAGGTAATTCCTAAACACCCTTTGGGATGACCACTTTTAAAAATCACAGTTCTGCACACTGTGTGGTGTTGCCAAGACACCATATTAACTTCAGTTATGTTATTTTGCATACATAATCTTCTAAGTTAACCCAGTTTACAGGTCTGCCTCTCACTTGAGAAGTATCTTAGCCGTATCTGTAGTCTATCTATGTTGGGGACACAGGCAGGACAATGGCTTTAGCAAGGACTTGGAGACGTGAAACTCCAAGAAGCAAGAGTAGGAGGGAGGAGAAGGCCAAAAAGGAGAATGAAGTTCTTCTTTGGGAGAGTCCTTCATACCCAGGCAGAGGAGCCCCTCCCACACAATCTGATACATGTGGGTGGGTGGGGAGGCCTGGAGGATCATGTCCGTGGGGTGCACCGCTGTGCTCTCCTGGGTGGAGACGCAGGACGTCCTCAAGTGTCATTCCTCAGGGGTCAAGCACTTTGTTTTTCTGAGACATGGTCTCTCACCTGAAGCTTACCAGTTAGTCTAGGCTGTCTCGCCAGCCAGTCTCAGAGCACCTACCTATCTCTGCCCCCCCAGGCCTGGGATTAAGACAGAGGCTCGATTTTAAATAATGTGGCTCCTCATGCTCATACAGCACCAACTTTAGCAACCGAACTACCTCTCCAGTCCTCTGCCGTGACTCCCTGACTGGAGTCCAGAGTACACACTTGGACATCATGTACACAGAGCACTC